CTTGCCGCGGAACTGCGAGCAGCACTTCGGATTAACACCTCCTTTCGGCAACGCTTCTCTAGTATCCCATCTCATCTAGATATTCCCACTACTAGCCCAACTTTACTACAGTACAGCACATATAGTCATAACTTCAACGAATATTCTCCAAAGTCCAGTCATGGGGACTCTCTATTCTAGACTCTAGGCTAGGTTGATCAAACGATCAGCTAATGAGCTATTGAGATTGATATTAAATTAACATTGCGAATTCGAGATTACAATAATACTACATTACTAGTAATACTAATAGTAATAGTTAATGGTAGATTGGTACTCACTTCCAGGTCCGTTTATTAATAATAATATTATTATTAAGCCACGGTTGGACAAGATGCCAGCGTAAACGAATTTCATTATCAATGTGAAGGTTTACTCCGTCTCAAGCACAATCACACACACACTCCCTCGTGCGCTGCGAAGATGTGATTGTGTCCTTGAGCTACAGCTTGAGCTTGAGCTTGTGCAGACAGTGTTTCCTACAAGCAAGGAGTGTTTAGTTTCGAACCAAACTTTGTACCCCTACTTCCGTCACTATCGCCACAACAGGAAATCATGGTCGCTCAATAAATATGTTGAAACTCGGTTACGATTAATTTTCGCATTGTTACATTATGTTATTTTTATTATAAATTTATGTTTAATTAACTTTCGGCGAAATAAATTTTTTGCTCAATAAATTTGTAGTAAAATTTTGTGTACATATTTTTGTAAAAATGTTTGAAACGTAAGCGGCCGGTTGATGTAAACAACATGTCTATCGAACTTGACGACGTATATATTCAAACTGTTGAGTTACCATAACCTCATAACATCATAAAGATTACTCTTCAAAGTCCAAGGGACTATATCAAAGACGGAGAGAGAGACAAACTTGACAAAAAGACAGTTTAATACATCGGATCTTAGTAGCCTAGAAAAAGAGAAAAAGCTTCAATTTTGCAATCGCCAATTCAATTACCAAGGCCAAGGCAAGGGAAGGAAAGAGTAATCCCATATTAAACTTTATAAGATAAGAGATTATTTTATCACTTTCAATATCAGCAGATACAAGGCTTTTTTAACAAAATATACATAACGTGCAGTGAAGGGATGGCGAAAAGACCATACGGTCATCTAGTCAGCCAACCCTTAATTTTTAAATTAATTAAGTATAACTTTAGGCGTCTGTCATAAGAATACGATGTATGATGAGAAATATATGAACAAAGTGTTTGTATGATAACAATAAAACAAAAGCAAAATTGAACATAATTGGAAATAGAACAAGCAGCAGACATGAAGTTATATACAAAATATGTTGGACACATATAAATGAAATATATTTAGTAATCAGTACAATACAGTAATCGAATATTTACATGCTAATAAAGAATAACTTAGGCAACATATATTACAATTTATGTCAATGACATGATTAAATGTATGAAAAACTAATCAAAATAAATAACAAAACAAACAGAACGGTTTTTTAAACTGAACATATATAGGTGAGAAAAGAAATATAGCATATAAAGAAATATACTTATCAAGAATATGTATGAAGCAGTCACATAAGATAGGAAAATAATGAATTGTAAGCATATATTTAACACCTTTACATACGTTAGATTTGACAATTAATAATTACATGCAAGAGTAATCAGTATCAGAGTACAGTAAGCAGTATGTACAGTAATCGAATATTTACATGGTAATCAAGAATAACTTAAATGGCCTATATTACAATTCATGTGTCGCCTTATCGGGTTTCCCACAGACGGAAGGGAAGAATTTAGATGTCTAAATAACAACATATCATCGAGCTTGAATTAGGGATAATCGAAAATTGGTTCCCCAATCTATCTATCTAGTTATGTATCTAATTATGTATGTACTAGTTAGTCTAGAACGTGGATTTGCAATCCCCCTGCACGAAAAATTACACCAGGGCAAGTAGTGCAATGCACTATATACTTTAATGACTGAAACAATGGCATAGTGCTGCCAAAATTCTTTCATAAAAAAGATGGTAGATGGCGCTTTTGAAGGAGGCATTTTAGAGATTAGGGATAATGCTTTAAAAATAATAAATAATAATGGAAAACAATACCTACACAGTACAATACATTATAGTACATTATTGATTATATAATTTTAAGGAATGTTAGCCAAACAGTTGAGAAATTTTACATAGGTCCATAAATAATTCTGTCTAGATTAGAGATGTTAAGCCACCACAAACAAACCGTGCAACCACATGTATATCAGTTACAAGTAAACAAGAAGACAAGTTACGGCCAATAAATTTTCGGGCACAATGACTTGGATGGCCCCCGGGCAAACTGTTTGTGGTGGCTAAGAAATTATTTGGTCCACAAACTGTTTGTGGTGTCTAAGAAATTTTTGGGTCCTCAAACTGTTTGTGGTGGCTAAGGAATTTTTAGGTCCACAAACAATTTTGCCTATCTTTCCTTTATATCAACAGTATTTAGCTATTTCCTGACTAGTTTTTACTTCGTGACTACTAAGAAGTAAATCATGTTCCAGCAATTTCTGTCAAACAAGTAGAACTCCAGTGATAGCAATGAAATACTGAAATACTATGGGTATGCCTAATAAACAAAGCTAATACCTAGTTTTATTAATAATGGAATAAATTGAACACAATTAAGGGCCTGTTCAAACTTGTAAGGGCCTGTTCAAATTTGTAAGGGCCTGTTCAATTTGTCTAAGGGACTGTTAAAATTTTGGGTGGGCCTGTTCACATTTTGGCTAATTTCATGCCCTGTATACTGTACTGGTCTTCAGTCTGCAAGAAGAAAAACTGTGTAATTCAAATACTGAGAGGCAGTAATAATATGGACTATGTGGTGTCTAGCATTTAGAAGACATTATGTAATACTCCTTATATATATATCTATGTACTACACATGCCTACAAATAAATATTGTATCGTAATTTACTAGCTTACATAGTGTTATGTTTAATTTAAGGCACGCTGACACAGGAGATCCTCTGCAATATGAGTGGAAGAGGGAGAGACAACGGTAGACCAAGACGACAAGGCCGGTCGCAACCGCCATCTGGTGGCAAGCGTCCACATGGTAACGTCAATCCTAGCCGAAGAAGATGCGACAGTGAGGAAGATGCAGGAATCACATCCCGCATGGAATCGAGGGGTTGCCGGGCACCTTCAGGCACCACACATCCCAAGGGGACGCGACATCAGACAACTAAGGTTAGAACTGTTTCGTTGTAGGTAAAACACAGTGCTGATGGTAGTAACTAATCAACCATGAGCAGAATCTATGCTGCAGGTAGAAAGAACCAGAAACATGCTAAATTTAATCAAGAGCAAGACTAACTGTTATCACTTTCATGTACTGTGTGTTGTGGGATAGGTGGATTTACACATATTAAAACACTAAGGTGACTATAGCCATTTTACACAGTTTTTAAAAGTGTAACTTGATGACATCATGTATAATTAATACAGAGACATGTATTAAATGGAAATTAAACGAATCCACTACTCTACACCAACAACGCCTTCCAATACTAAAATAAAATCAGGAGTGTATAATATAGATTATATACTCCTAATCTATATTAATTATTATTTATTATTAATGTATGTTAATCTATATTATACACTCCTGATAATATTACAATATCTGATTTTAGAATGACGCAGAATCTGTGAGTACGTCCGGGGGAATGTTGTTCACTAACAGCTCAGCGAGTAAGGGACTCCACAACACTTCACGCGAGCTCGAACGTCAACCAGCGGCGAAATCAAAGATGCGTCCGTCGCGAAATGTTAACCGCCATTGCAGCGAAATCCCGCTCGACGCGTCGGTGATCGAGCGTGAACTTCACGCGAGAACTAGCGGCGACTGCTGCCCCCGGCGACCCGTGGCGACGGTGAAGCTTCCGAGGATGAGCAGTCAGCGTGCGGACACACCTGCGCTTCAGCAGCACTACCACGTGTTACCTGACATCGTCGAGGGCCCCAGGGAGGGTCCTCTCATCAATCTGCTAATGAATACGAGGAGTAGAAAGCATACAGACGAAGCCGCTACGGCGGAACGTCATATCTGCATTGCTGCGGCAGAGAGATCTGATCGTCGGTCTTGTGATAAGGTAGACAGTTCTTCCATGAGCAGGAACATCAACGCTGACACTGATGTTAAGAGTGCGTCACAGATGCATTCAGCAGACGCCCCGCATGATAGCAATGGTGCGACGGATCTAAGTGACACTGGTGTGCAGCGGGAACAGCGTACCGTAGTAAGCAGTGACAACAACAGTAAGGTAGCGGCAAAGTCAAATACGCGTCCTGCACAGCAAACGAACACGTCGAAACCAGCCAAGTCCTCACGCGGGGTAGCGAAAATAAGCGATAAACGAGAGAAAAAGACTACAGAGAAAACAAATGGGAAGAGAAATGTAGCTGTGAAAACTCGCTGCAATCAGCAGGCACTGCGCGGCAAGAAGAATGAAAACAAAAGCGTCTCCGCCGCAGACGTGGCAACGAGTAACGCGGAGTACATCACCGTAGCGGTGAAGCTGCCGTGCGGGCAGCGAGTGGTGGCGAAGTATCGGACGAGCACGACGCTGGCTGCCGTCCTGCGCCGTACGGCGACGATCGCTAACGTGTCGCTCGCAGCCAACGCGAGAATGTCGACGTCAGACGTACCGACGGTCATCCTACAGGACGAGAAACTGACGCTGAACGACGCACATGTCCGCGACCGATCCCTGCTACATGTCCACTGTCCCCCTCGCGGCGGCGCGGGCTGAAGGTGCGTGCAATAACCGACGCAGACACACGCACATCTTTATGTCCTCCGAGTTACTGTTAAGCATTCAATCAGGTTTTAGATGTGTGCATATTATACGTAGCCAAACATAGCGATTACAGACAGATGCGAGTGATGATTCAAGTGACAAACAAGCACTATTAAACCGTGTTTCACCGACATTTGTTAACACCTCTGCCATATGTTGTGTAATATTATTCTTAGAGAAATGATAAAAGAAGCTAGATGTGTATCATCTATATAGCTAGTTAATGAGCGAAAAATATATTTGTATACAAAACTTGTTTTGCACCAATGTTTATATAATGGTAACATAGGGAAGTAATGTAATTATCATAAATGCATTAACAACAAGTCATGTACATAAAAAATAAATAGACGAATTTTTATGGATTTATAAATCATTTATTTATAAACTGTTGTGTTTCCTGTTAGTAGACTGTGATGTCTTTCGAGTCACAATTTTAATTTCCAAACTTTACCAATTTCTTACTCCATATAACGAACACTTTTACAATCTGCTGATTATATTTTTGCCATGCCACACGAAAAACAGCAAACCAGTTTACCATTGCAGTCTTTGCCGTTTTCCGGTAAACCGTCTGTATGGAATGTACTTAAAGCCATCAAATGATCTCACAATGGGATATCCTCTTAATCTCTAACTTAAAGCAAAAAGAAACACATTTTTAAATTAAACTAGTACACCCTGATGGATGGTTCGCTGTATACCCTAGAAGGCAATTACAATGCCATGGTTGTCGTCGGCAATGTGGATTGTGATACAATGGGGACAGGGTACAGCATTAGCAGTACGTCACACACTGTCGTCATGACCTATTCGATGCCACCACTTATCATCAGGGTTTGCCGTGATGTCACAGATCTCATCACACACTGTCCTCCAATGACTTTACCAGTCTCCAATGCCATCTAGCTATACAGATGTTACAGCTTGATTTCATGACAGACGTCACACGAATTGAAAATTATTAGAACATCAGGGTGGAGCTGCATCATCAATAGTTACATGCAAGTAGATGGCGTTGTCATTGGTTACGGGCACACACAGAGGCTGTCGCCATTGGTATCGAACATGTTGAGATCGTCGTCCTTAGTTACAGGCACAGATGCTGTCGTCGTTGGTTATGCACACATAGAAGATGCTGTAGTTATTGGTTAGGAACACGTGGAGGCTGTCGTCGTTGGTTACGAAGACAGATGCTGTCGTTGTTGGTTACAAACACGTGGAGGCTGTCGTCGTTGGTTACGAAGACATAGATGCTGTCATCGTTGGTTACACACACGTGGAGGCTGTCGTCGTTGGTTACGAAGACATAGATGCTGTCGTCGTTGGTTACGCACACGTGGAGGCTGTCGTCGTTGCTTGCGTGTGATGGGGGGGGCGGTGTGTTGGCGTTGACTACGTCAGCGTGACTACGTCAGCGTGACTACGTCAGCGTGACTACGTCAGCGTGACTACGTCAGCGTGACTACGTCAGCGTGACTACGTCAGCGTGACTACGTCAACGTGTCTTCACTGCGCACGTACTCACCGACGTCCGCCTGATGGAACGCGACGATCGTCATCGGGTCGGCACGGCGACAGTCCTGCGTCGACTTCGCCAGCACGCCGAAACCCTGCATGAAATACACAACACATTGTTATGTTGCTGCTGGTCACTCATTGTCCCCTTCAATCTCTCATGGCATTATGAGATCTGCAGTGGCAAGGTTTAATCATGCCCTTATATTACATATACATTATTACAGAAGCTTATAAATGGAATTTAAAGCCATTTATTCCATAATTCCATTTATAAGCTCCTGATTATAATATATATATTGATGTATAGTAGATAAGTTCTTCATATGCACGATATCACGATATTCAGTTGTTATAGATAAAAAAAGAATAAATCGACATTTAGTTTTACACTGTAAGTGCTTTCATCTTTATCGAATCTTCAGGTGCATATATAACTGTTTTTTCGCCAATACTCTGGGTGTGAGTAGGAGGCACAGCTGGGCAGTAGCAGCTATTATATTGGAACACTAATCAGAGCCTACCATAGAACTCTCCATATACTGCCATTACATATTTAGATATATGCGCGTTCTATTATTAATTGCAGTCGTTGGCAACCCAAGAGAGCAACTGTGCTATTAAACCAATTGAATTTATAAGTGCAGAGTTGTGTTCTGTGCCTTTATACACAGATCTGGGCTGTATTTAATATGTTACAGAAACACATTTAGGCCTTTAGACCTGATGTTTCTTAATGTATTCATTGTGCGATCAGTGAGTATGCACTAGAGGCGAAACTGAAATCACTGCGTTGACGATGTTACTGACGAGCAACAGTGGCGCCCTCACCAGTGGCAGGTCGCCCATCGAATATACGACGAGTCCCTGGTACTGCGGCGTGCTCTCTGTGATGCGGCCCAGACCAGACTTCATCACGTGATGGCCGTAGAGAAACTGTTGCTCTGCACTTGGCTTCAACCATATCTTGTACTGCGAGGAATAACAATAACACACATGACATCTTAGGTGGCAGATCCACGTAGGGATGGGCACAATGGGTGGGGATTGACCCTCCCCCTCGGACCCTTCGTTTTCTTAGGTGCTACACATCCTATTCGCACTGTAGTTATGACCAGTTCCTTCATTTCAGTCCGACGCTTCCCTGCGAACAACGTATTTGAATGAGCAAGCACACATACATTATACACAAAAATCTAGCGGAAGATTCCTGCACGCATTCCTCACCTTGGCGTACGGAGCGAGGTAATCAAGAGCTGTGACGTGCAACCGGAATTTTTTCGTCTTGGTGAACTTTCCGAAGCAGGTTCCAAAGCTGACGAGGTTATCGTGTGAGATGTTAGCTGCTCTTTTCATCAGCGCCTCACTGACATAGAAACAATGTCATGTATAAACTCACCCTAGAGACACAAGCTGCACGCATACGACTACTCATTATAGTTACAACTGTGTTGTTAGAGACCAGGCAGCTTTATAGGATGCACCTCTATCGATAGAGAATGCTTGAGAGTTGTGAATACAGCAGTTATACAGTGAAACTACTTACACAGAACGAATAGCTTACATGAAGCAGTATTTTTACGTTTCTGATGATCGAGTTTATTCTTCAATTATATACACTGTCACTCTCAATAGATGCTAGTCTCATCTAAATATTGGGAGTAGGTGGTGTGACAACAAAACTTTGTGTGTAATTGCTTGTGTGATGTGGTTGCAGGAGGGAAACGTAATATAACAGTAAAGTGAGAAATTAGGGGGGGGGGCAGAACTAGGTTGGAGAACATGTGATAGAATGTGCATGATAGTGAGAAACAAATTGCAGGTAAGAATTCCCTCAAAAATATCCCAAGCGATATGCGTCATTCGAGAATATATCCTACAATAAATATAAATGGTTTTAGACACTTTTACTGTTCACTTACCTAACATAATAGACCCGGTCATTGTGCAAACGAAAGCAGTAAGTACCGTCCGGCCTATCAATGAGCAACTTTATGTTTTCTCCGATGCTGAGAAATTAATAAAAAGTACATAATTTATACTTTCTTCACAAACCTGAAGCCATAACCCGATGTCATTTTCTGATGCAAGGTGTGGGATGATAAAACATTTAAGTGTATTTTTCTGTGTGCACATCACACCATTGAGTATAGATACAATAATGTAACCCAAACCCAGGATAGGGTTACAACGCGTCGCTATGGTTTTCTGTGGAGGAAATTCAGGGAACCCCTGAGTGAATCACTCAGGGCGGTTTGCTGGTGCGTTTTCAGAGACTAGAACTTCCAAACTGGGTTTATTCTCAACACGAACCTTCTCCGCTATCTTGGAACTTACTATGTATCAAAATACTCTGTATTAAACTAATATAACCTGTTACAAAAATTCGAAGTGACGAGCGGCGGATATTTCGAGCGCCATTTCTGTTGACCTGTGACGTACGCATTCCCAATGCGCATAGCAATCGGCAAACGCAGCGCCCTCCGATTGGTCGGTAAATCCGCTCTTCAAACCGAAGTACGTCACAGGTCAACAGAAATGGCGCTCAGTTTATTCGCCACTCGTCACTTCGAATTTTTGTAACAGGTTATATTAGTTTAATACAGAGTATTGTGATACATAGTAAGTTCCAAGATAGCAGAGAAAGGTTCGTGTTGAGAATAAACCCAGTTTGGAAGTTCTAGTCTCTGAAAACGCACTGAGTGATTCACTCAGGGGTTCCCTGAATTTCCTCCACAGAAAACCATAGCGACGCGTTGTAACCCTATCCTGGGTTTGGGTTACATTATTGTATCTACATTGAGTACGTACTAGTAGTAGTACTATTGAATGCAGATGAAACAAGATTTGTGTAAAAAAATTATTACTGGTAGTGGTAAAATGTTCTGTTCGGAACTAAAGTAAAGTGTCACCATTTTTAAGTGTAAAACCAAACCTGCCACATTCGCAGGTACTTGAGCCGTTTAAAAAATAAAATGATTACAAATAAACACAAATCACTACCTCAGTAGGTACCTGTCCTCACGCTCCTCACCGTAAAAATCAAGCAAGCTGTGGGAATAAAACACTAAACCTACAAACTTACTACTTTGCTAGTTTTTCGAAGAATGTCTTCGTCTCTTCGTCAGTTAATGGTCTCATTTTGAATAAATATTTTAGCAAATTATACGCACAAATACTGAAAGTCGAACATTCACAGAGACATTAGAAAACGTGCTTCGTAGAAGGGGGCAGCCATTTTTCTATGACGTCATGGCGATATGGCAAATCATGCAGTCGGCTGAAAAATGCGATAGGATATGTTTACTAGGCACTTCTAATTTTAACATATATTTTAAATTTAATTAGGGTCAGGGTTAGGGTTAGGGTTAGGGCACTTTTTAGGGTTTTTGCATCATTCTTTAATATATCGTAAAATACATGTTAAAATTAGATAAATTGGCATACGGAACGCCTCGCAGTCCTAGATTATCTCACTCAAGGGAAAAGTGTTTCATTCAGTTACTTAGATAGCTCTAAATGGCATTACCACATTAGAATTTAAAAAATAAAATGAAAACAATGAAAAGTGAGATAATCTAGGACTGCGAGTAGAAATGACATATGAACACTTTATAATTATTTTCCACACGAGATGGCGCCAAAGAGTCATATTTTAAATAAATATATTTATTACCTGGTCGAGGTTATTATATCACTCCTCACAGCAGGTTCTATCCCAGAAACCACCTACGCCCTACTCCCTAACCCTAATTAAATTTAATTAGGCTTTTTTTTTAAATAGTTCATATTCATATAGTGCTTCCAGTGCTTCATATGTTAAATAAACACGATATGTATTTCCTACAGTCTTAACTCTATAATTTTGTTGTTTGTGGCGTTTCCGAGGAGAATTTGAACGGTATTGACCGAAAATCAACAATAATACTAGGCGAAATAATCGTTCTTTGGAGTTCGGTAGTAAATTATACTTAAATACGTTGTTTGTTTACCTTCATTTTATTATTGAAACGTTCAAAGTTCCCGTACACGCAGTCAGTAGGCGTTTGGCCAGTTGTATATGTTAGTTGTTTTCTTGAAAAAATGTAAGAACTTATGCAGCGACCGTTTTAATTTGTAGCATTGGTGGTACATGTTGTTACATGAAACAAATACTAGTAAATAGGTATAAAAAAGCTTTATTCGTCATAAATCCTTCAATGATTTATTTAAATATGCAATAGAATCATGATTATTTACACAATTTAGCAATGGAACTTGCAAGAAGCAATACGGAACACTAAAATATATACATTTTGAAAGGCAGCAATACTGCAATGTATGTCTATGAATGCTACATGGTTGTTAATTCACAAATCCCATATCTCACGACATTCAATTAGAACCGTATTGCGGATGTATCGGTCTACGTTGTGCTTGATAAGCGACCATCAATGCCAATCAACTGTGGCTCCCACTCTGCCACTTCTCCTCTTGAGGGGGGCGTCCCTGCTCTATGCAACCTTGCGTTCATCCAACCATGGAGTGCCTACAGCTGCTGTCCACCACAGAATGGAGTGGATGAGCACTTGCGCTGAAATGGAGACACTGGGAGTTTACCACGAGCGGGCAAAAAATGTTTTAGACGACAGACGCGCGCCGCAATTTTCCACCACGTTTACGTTGGAATTTTCGACTTAGAAGAACTTGCATGCGACTAATGAGAGGCATTGGAAGAAAATTCGTACCGACGTGTGTGGCCCTAGCCCTCGTGTTCACGCGCTGACATCCGTTGTGTTGGCATGTGTTAGCTGACTCCTGTAAAAGAAACAAAGCTGTAATGTTGTCTTACACAAAGCACAGTAATCTGCTAGCTTGCATGCGCCTCGGCTGCTCTGCCGAATAGACACATGTAGTCGCACGAAGTAAAAGCAAACAACAATCACTACTGCTGTTGTAGCTCCCATGCAATTTGTAATAGTTTTTAATTTGAAAAGCTGCTAGACAAAAATTACGTGTGCTGGGTATAGCGAGATGCCAAGCAGTGTTTCGCTACTATTTTGAACGGATCACCAAGGCCAATCGTGACACTTCCTATCATGAAACCTAAATTGAACGTTCCCTGCAAGTGTTTACCCCTGCCCCCCCCCCCAAACAAGGAATCACGTTTATAATGCTACCTGAAAATTTCCCTCTACACACAACCTAAATTCCTAAAGCACGACACAACAGTAAGAACGCGAACTTCATACGTTACCTGGCGTGGACTATCTACACACACTGTGGATACCTAATTTTCTCGCCTTGCCTAGTGCCTCACTGCCCTGCAGTAGCTGGGGCCTCTCTCTCTCTCTCTCTGAATGGTCGTCTGCACTCGCTAGCTGTCTGCGCTTCCCGGCCCGTCTGTCTGTCGACCGATTGCCATAGTAACAACTTCTGCATTTTGCTATCGTTATATAGCACTTCCACGCACAGACCACACTACCTTCACCACTTCGACATGCACTCGCACTATACTCCATCCATTCTTCTCACAATCGCCGATCACTGGCATTTGATTTGTGTATGTTGAAAAATAATGTTTGTGGACGTGTGAGCATAAATGCAACATTGATGCTCCAAAGTGAAATGACGTTCCTCAGATGGCAGCCCCCCCCCTAAGAACAAATCGAGACCCCACCACCACCACATACACAGACGCTTCTCATGAGTGACACCCACTGCTTGTGACAGACCAGGATCACCCAGGGCCACATAATATGATCTATAGTTCTCTGTTAAACACACTTATTTCAGCCTCCACCCTCTATTTCCTTTACTAGAAAGCATCTTGAAGGGAATCCTGACCCTAATTTCACACATTTCTCTTGCGCTCTCTCAATGGAGTCTTCCCAAGCTACTTTTACTCTCAACTACTCGCAAGCAGACACTACCTAACACTGAAAGATCGTGGAATGTGTACCCTCATCTTTATTTCACACATAGACTAAACACAAATCTAAAAAATATACACTGTCTGCAGTACTGCCACCTTGATATCTGATAATTAAACACTTAGCCTAGTGACAGATGGTGGTTCGTAGCACGTAGATTAGCGACAAATTCACTTTACACAAGACAAAAAGAGACATCTTTGGATGAACTGCAAATTGCTACATGATACAAAGTCTTACACTGAATATTAAGAGAAGATAACGAAGACAACTACCCACCCTCTAAGAGCTTTCCGTGGAGCAAAACCAATCGTAAAACTATTTTCTGCTCTGATAAAACATAAACGGCATACTCCACATTACCAGTATGTCATTCATAAAATGCCAGCCCGTCTACTACTAGTTGGTTACCATTGTCATGCTATATGTACAACGTTCGTCAGCTTAAAATAATAATAGTAGAACAAATTAGCATATAGAGTGTACAGAAACAAGCTGCTACAAAATCATAAGCTGGAGTGCAAGTCACTGTTCTGGTTGCTTCACTGTCGATGTGTAACTGGAGCCTGGCTAGTCGGCTGTGCTGGTGCTTTCACTAGTCTTCCTTCAACCCTGCGACTCTATGTCGCTCAACTGTTCGTGTTTAACTGAAGACTGGCTAGTCGGCTGTGCTGGTGCTCTCACTAGTCTTCCTTCAACCCTGTGACTCTATGTCGCCCAACTGTTCGTGTTTAACTGGAGACTGGCTAGTCGGCTGTGCTGGTACTCTCACTAGTCTTTGTTCAACCCTGCGACTTTACCCTGACCTCATTTCTAGGGTAAACCTGGAGACTACCTAGATCTTGCTTGTGTACTGTAGCTGCGACTCTTTCAGTATATCTCTGATTCTATGCTGCTTATGATATCTCCTCATTGATGATGTTATAAAACATGCTCCCTGAAAGCCTAAACAACAAACAAATCATATTATGAACTGCATAATAAACCCGCTGAGTACGTGAAATGCACCTGACCTCACAATATCCCCCACCTTCCCACATACATAACTGTCTACTTGACACACACTCGTGTACAACTTCAGAAATTTACATTACAGGACAAAGTAAATTGCTTCTTCTTCCTCACCCACACAGGCCTCTGTACCGAAAGAAACTTCACTGCACTAGCCCATCTTTATTTGTCGACTCAGTATTTCTGTGTTGCTTATTATGACTAAGAGAGTATATGCTGTTGCTGCAGATAACTATGTGGAGACGGTTACTACCTCAATTCTACTACTGTTGCTGCTGCTGCTGTTTCAGCTAAAATTACTCTTGTTGCTTATCCCCAGTGCAGTAATCAGTGGATTTTGTGGGAGACAACATTGCCACCGTGCGAATAAATTATAAATATGTACGTTATATTCGAAAGATGCCACTTTACCATTGTTGTTCAACTTAGTAATATCCAACATGGATAGAAACGTCCGTTAAAATGATGAACAGTGCATACAAAAGAATCTATAAATAGTGCGAACTGAAACGCAATAAGGTTTGGTATCGGTTCGCTTAACCTACTAGCACATACTAATGTTACATATGGAGCTTCCCGCTTGCGTAAGAAAACATTTCATTGTACATGTCGTACAAATGTTATTTAAGGTGCTTTAAGTCTCGATCAATCAACTTCTGATGCAGAATATTTTACTGTACCACCAGCCCTTTAGGCTCAACATCCAAAATACGCATTCACACAGCTGATAGCAGCTGCAACATTTCTATGATATCTTGAGAGAGATAAAAGTCCAGAAGGAACTTTCTTAAGGGCTCAAAAGGTCACCTGACATATTTTTTATATGGCAGTAGAAAGCAAACTTTTCAATCCTATTATTAACAGACATGTAAGCAGCAGTTGACGACTGAAATAAATATAATTTCTATTGGATACGTTAACTGTCCTCAGCTATAAGTGCAATGTGTATCTTAAAAATCTGCCCATTGACCTTTGACCTAACATCACACTTGTGGTATTATACTAGCTGCATTGACACAGATGTAGAACAAATCTTCCTCGAAATGGAAATACAAATACAAGGTGTAAATATAATGCAAATGTAATAAATATATAGTATGTAATAATGTAATATGTGTGTAAATGTAATCCTACTCTATCGCAATCCATACATACCCTTAGAAGCTGGTGCAAAAAGCAGACCACTCTCTAGCGTCGGCTGTAGCCTCCTCCACCACCACCACCGTAATTTCCTCCTCCGCTGCTGCTGCCGCCTCCTCCGCTGTTGCCGCCTCCTCCATCTGTTAGTGGAACGAGTACATAGTTCAGCATTATGCTATATCATAAAACAAGAGCGATATCTTTCAATAAAATACTGATAACTTTTATGGCTCATAAACCCATCAACTTCGTGTTGACTTATACCCTTGACACACCGAATTCGGTATTGACCAATGCGCATCAATGCGCATTGTAACCGAACGACATAATTCGATTTCATATGTGATATACCGCTAACACACCGAAACAACCAAACGCAAATCCGAACGCAATCGAACGCAAATCCAACAACGCATTCAACAGGTGATCTTCACGAGAACACCACGTGATTTCATCATCCAATCACAGGATCTTCACGAGAACACCACGTGATTTCATCATCCAATCCCAAACCGAACAGAACCGTGTTGTGAAATTATCGTTGACACACCGCCAAACAGAACCGAACCGAACCGAACCGAACCGAACCGAATCGAACCATAAGCAAACTGCTCAATTTACATACGTATGTGGATTGAAAAACAACCGTATCTGGTGTGTACATAACCGCGTTGAAGCGCATCAATGCGCATTGAAAGTTCGGTGTGTCAACGGTATTATTACGCACATGTAAAGCACTCACACGATAATACAGTTGTACTTACATCCAGAATTGTACGGACCAGATCCACGCTGGGAGTAACTCCCGCCTTTCATCGCTCCACCACCGTATCCGCCAGATCCATAGTCATTGCTGAGCCCTCCTCCAGAGTTGTTGCCCCAGTTACCACCGGCTCCTACAACAATAGAGCATCAATGAGCTTGGACTGTCAGAATTCTTTTTTGGGCTTAAAGAAAAATGGCTAAATCCGTATGTCACTTCCGGTAAATAAGAATGACCATTCACACATACCTTGATTTTGGTTCCAGCCAGCACCACCACCATTGGCACCAAAGTTTCCTCCGCCGCCGCCGCCGCCACCACCAAAGTTTCCGCCGCCCATGTTTCCGCCCATGCCTCCACCGTAACCTCCCTGGTTGCTGTAGCCACCACCGAAGTTACCTGCTGAAAAGAACACATCATTGACACATAAGAATACGAAGGAAGTTTCAACAAGGTAGATTTGTGCATGGGATTAATGACTCCGCATACTTCAGCAGCATGAAGCTACACAAGTAGAAGTCAATAATATCTGTCACAACAATACAGCATGGTCCTACTACTGGCAAAGCCATATAACTACACGCAGTATGCAATAACGATCCAATGCCACACCTGGCTTTCATTTCATACAAACAACTCGATTCTAGGACAACTACCCCCTGGACAATTACCCACCAGGATGATTACCCACCAGGACAATTACCAACCACACTACAAGAATAACGCGACGCGGCGACTGCCAGGCACGTGGCAAGCACGTATATCGGCAGTATCAGCGAATGTTAAAGTTGAAATTATGAAATCATGAATTTGGTCCGTTAGATGAATCATCATTACTGTACGGTGTGTGTGTGGGGGGGGGGGGCTAGGGTAATCGTCCGGGGGTGGGGGTAATTTGTCCGGGTGGGTAATTGTCCTGGTGGGTAATTGTCCTGGTGGGTAATTGTC